GTATTAAAAGGAAATTGTTTATATTAACAATTGTAATAAAACTTTGTAAAGCAGTAAAACAATGATTTATGATTGGTTCATATCTGATATAATCTGCAATATATTGGTATCAATATAGGATATTTTTTTTTTTATGCATACTACTTCTATGTTCAATGATTTTATAATTTTTAAATATTCATTTATATAATAGAATCTTTGTACAGGCATCGAGCTTTTTCTTAGTCATTAAATGTTTGTGATGATGCAATACAAGTTAGCCTGCTCTTAGTATCGTAAGATGCTAAGGGTGTAGTAATTGTAACATTTGGTGTTTGTTCTTTGTTTGACCATATCTCATCTAAGATCCATACATTAATTATTCCATCGGATGAAATGGATGTTAGAAGGGATACAGGTGTAGAATACGTTGGTGGCATTGAACTAATTATAGAAATATCTTTAATACTAAATAATAAATAAATAAGATAGTTTTTTTTTAAGAGTTAGAATAAAATATCTGCAAAAAATAGATTCGAATAAATTTTGAAAATGTTATTTACCGGTTTTTGTGACCCATATAAGTTGCAATACAATCACCATTTTTAACATTATACACTCTCACAGTTTTATCTTCACTACCTGCAATTAACAAATCACCCAATGTTTCATGAGCAAAATATCGCATGCAAAGGTAGCGAGAGCTTTTAAGTTGAAAATTTTGTGTAACTTGTCCATCCTTATTATTTGTGAAATAAGAATGAAAAATTAGTATTTTTTATAAAATATGTTAATATAAATAATTAATCAAAGAAATCTTACTATAGTATTAAATATTTTTATTTCTTGACCCATTAAAATGGCGTAATGATCACCTGATGGATTCCATAATACTATTTCTCCCTCTAATATGAACAAGTAAATTAGAATATTTCAAAATATAGAGAAATTTTAAAAGATATAATAAGATTACCTCTTCCTAATTTATTAGCAGCTGCTTTTCTTCCAGTTAAGAAGTTCCATAATCGTACAGTTTTATCACTTGACACAGATAATGCTATTTTACCTGATGGATGAATATCCACAGAATTAACACGCCCTTTATGACCTTTTAAAATTTTTAAACATTCCCAATCTTTTGATCTCCAAATACATATTGTACCATCTTCACTTCCACTAATCATATGAGATTTATTATAAAATTGAATAGTAGTTATAGAACCTTCATGTTGTAATAAAGAACCAATTTCTTTCCGTTTTTTTATATCATACAACCTAATAATGAATCAATAATTTTTCTACCGATTAAAAATATAATCATTAACAAAATAATATTAAAATAATTTACTCACTTGATAACTTCATCAGTACTGCCCGAAGCTAAGTACCTGGAACCTACGGCTACAGCTTTAATGCAGCCAATATGGGCAGGAAATATAAAGGTTGGATCAAAACGTAATGAAGGTTTACACTTTATTTAATTCAATATTATTTTTATTTAAGCATATATATTATATATTTGAAAATTATAACTGAATAAAAAAAAAAGTGTGTCAAATATATTGAAAATATGTACTTTATCGAAATCATTCTGGTCCGATTTAACCCAACATCCATTAATGCCGTATAATATTCTTTCATAACTACCCACGACGATAAGAAAATCTTTAATAGGTTCTTTAATAGGTTCTTTAATAGGTTCTTTAATTATTGAAATTTCTTGCGTTTGAGAAATAAGATTATGGTCTGTATCTGATGTACTCTCTTTATTTGTAGCCTTTTTTTTTGCAGGCGATTCTATAGTATCAAAATTTTTAGAAGTACGTTTTGGTTTTGGCATTTTTTTGGTACTGAAATTATCTAAAAAAATTTTTTTTTTTTGATCACATTTTATAGTCATGACAATCATGTGATAAAGATCTATCGTCGATATCTTAAAATTTATATATATATATAGTACTATATCAGATATACAGTATATATATATCGATATGTAATACCCCAGATTAGAATCTCGTCCCGATGAGAATTTTGTAGAGTTAGCGTTAGTGTTAACGTTAGTGCTAGGATTAAAATTTACAAAATTTTCATCCGGGACTGTTAATCGGGACAAATTCCAATACGGGGTCAGGGATCCGGAAATATTTCAATATCAAAATTTTTCTATCAATACAAGGATTTTTCAAACAATTTCAAACAATTTGCAGAACTTCCAAAAAACATTCAATAGAAATCAAAATTTTTGGTTCAAAAAAGATTTCGAAATATTTCTAAGTCGCTTCCTGTCTAGGGTACAAGTCCTCCGGACAATTACGATCCTAAAATTAACTCTACCCTTCTAACACTAACCAAAAGTGGTAGACAAACAAGCTTTTACGTATCTCGAACAACCAATTTTGTATTATCGTTATCGTTATTATAAAATGGCTAATGCTGTAATGTTTACATAAAATACTAAAGTAAAAATTTATGTTAGTATCTCTATAGAATAACACGTAACGAGTTGTGAAATGCAATCGGATCGGTATAATTCCAGAATTTATAATTTTTAGACGAAACCAAGGAATTTGTTTGTTCCAGGATTTATAAAAATTAGACAATTTTGTCATTTAAAGTCAGCGATTTTCATAAATATTGATACAATTGAAATGACCGAATCGAAACAAGTTATTGATATCAAGCCGATGTCAGTAACTTATACGATTCGGTCATCGAAAAATTTTTCAGCTGCCCCAAAATTTATGAAAACTGCTGTAATACAGTAAATATGAATTATTGTATGGTATAAGCGATTTAGCACAAATAAAAGCCTGTTTATTTTGTTAGCATAAAAACAGCCACCATTTTTTTGTTTTTTATTGCTAGGATAAAAATTTTCCCGAAAAGGTTTGGGTCGTGCTCTCCATTTTTCAACCTAGATAACAGCTCTACCTGGATTCATCCGGGTTGTCCGGCATGTTGGGCTGTTTCATTGGTATTACAATAGCAATAAATTCATTTTCCGGACTTGAACATTTTCCCGGGACGAAGGCTAGTGAATTTTATTATGTTGGTTTGGGTTAACATTGATACATACCCCTTATCGCTATAAGTCGCCAAAAAAGAAAAAAGAAAAAAAAAATAATAAGTAAAAATATGCGAGTGTTCGTAAGTGCGTACAGTACGTACGTATCAGGTATGTAGGAGAAATGCGATATTTGTAAGAAAAAAAAAAAAAAAAATTTATTCGTAATATTTATTCAACATTTCAAAAAACCTAATTACAGTACGTAATGCGAAAAAAAAAACTGTATATATTTAGTATTTTTTTTTTTTTCTTGTATTATTCGAAAAAAAAATTTTTTATCATACACTAGTACTGTAGTATTTGAGAAGTTATACTTCAACTTTTTGGTCACGGGTTTTAGTACTCAGTATTTATTAGTAATCGAAATATTAATTATCCGCCAATCACAAATACAGATTTGTGTCGCGACCTGAGTCAAATAGTTCTTTTGTTGTGTAGCTTTAAACTTGACAGCAATGGCTACTTCACAATCAGTTCTTCTTCTTCAAAAGCAACTCAACGGTATTGTCAAATGTGTTTCAAACTTTATCTAAAATTTCTAGTTTTAATATTTTATTTCTAAATTTTTTATATTTAGAACTATTAAAGCACCCTGTTGAAGGCTTTTCCGCGGGTCTTGTTGACAATGATAATATTTATGAGGTAAAAAACTATTTACTACCCTTATTTTAAAGCTTTTGTTCTGAAAAGTTAACTTGTGTTTCTCCTCTATAAAGGTATGAGTTATGGCTTCAATTATTTATAATATTATAAAATAGAAGGCCTAATTTTATTATTCTTTATTCAAAAGTGGGAGATCATAATCATTGGTCCACCTGATACTTTATAGTGAGTAATCCTTTATAAATCTCTATGTTTATTAAAATATGATTTAGTAAAATAATTAAATATTATTAAATATCGACAGTGAAGGTGGTTTCTTTAAAGCAAAGATGACTTTTCCAAAGGCATGTTGTTTTATGGATAACGTTCATTTTGTATAAAATCTCGGTTTTTCGCATATGTATAAATGATTTAATATTTGCCTTATTTAGGAATATCCCATGATGCCTCCAAAACTGAAATTTGTTTCTGACATGTGGCATCCAAATGGTACGTGATACGACGTGTATCGTTACAAAATATTGAATTTTTTTTTTTTTAATCTCGCACTAATTGATCTTCTTTTATTAGTATATCCTGATGGTGAAGTGTGCATTTCCATTTTGGTATGATCTTAGATGACTTATTAAATGTTATTGTTGATTAATTGTATTTGAATGTACTTTAATTGCTTATTATTTCGTTTTTCTTTAGCACCCTCCAGGTGAAGATAAGTATGGTTATGAAGATGCTGGTGAAAGATGGAGACCTATACATACTGTTGAAACGATTTTATTGAGTGTCATTTCAATGCTTTCGAGTCCTAATGATGAGTCGCCTGCAAACATTGAAGCTGCTGTAAGAATTTTATTCGAAATCTATTTAATTTATTTATTATAAAAAATTCACTATATAAATTTTTATTATTTTATAGAAAGAATGGAGAGAAAATTATCCCGCGTTTAAAAAACGCGTTCAACGCATAGTTCGAAATTCCATAGGCTAATTTGAATTTCACCTTTTAATATAATAAATCATAATGTGATATCATTTCGGCAAATAGTTTGTAGTAGTATTAGTTTGCTGTCTAATAACTTATTGTTTTATCAAATCTTATTTTTGGTAGTAGACACATTCCTTTACAATAAATTTTCAAATATCATGATGATGAACTTTTTTTCACTGAATATAAAAATAGTGTTTATCAATTCCTATCACTGTATAAAATACCCGAGGCATTCATTATTCATGAATTCACTTACTTTTAGAATTGAATGATACCTAAGATATTTCGCATGGAAACGAGTATTATATTTGGGTGATATACATATGTAAACTAATAAGTTATTATAATTATACTCCAAGTATTAATCAAGGATTAGGTCTGCATGATAGCGGGTCTTAATTGTAGAGAATACGTCAACAAAATTCATATAAATCAAAATCATAATACTGTAGTACATGAAATTTAATTTTGATTTATCGTAGTGATTGAATTTCGAATCGTCTTGATAAGATGCTAAAACTAGATCAAGAGATATCGACATGTACTATTATGAATTTGGTCGACATATCAGATATCCTGTATTATACGGGACTATATATGTGATAAACGGTATTTAACCTATTCAAAAAATAATTTTCTTGATATTTGTGACTCAACTATAATAATTTTCAAGCGAATCGGATAACTTGGATGACTTATCGAGTTGATCCGACCTAAATAATTCGAGTCGGATTACATTCTACCCTCGTCATAACGTATCTATCGGGCTGAGAAGTTGAGAAGTACAAACTAATATAATGAAAAATCTTTTTTTTTTCCAAGTGGTCATGTCACAACTTTATTATTTAATTATAGAATGAATGAGTTTTACAACCGTAATTTTTATCTACAGCTTAGCTGTTTTGTACTAAAGTGTGGCTTACCTAGTTACTAGAAAGCATTTATGTGTAATCTGTCAGAGTAGAAGCGCTTCTTCTTAATCTACCTCAGATTTTGAATTTACAATTCACTGGCCAGGATCTACTAGCCTGTCATGATTACCTTTTTTCTTTAAATTTTTTCTACCTAGTTTTTGACAGAAAGACTAAACTATAATCTATTTAAAAAACTAAAAGAAACATATAGAAAGGGTATAAAGAAAAAAAATATAAAGAAGAAAAAAAAGAGGAGCAGAGTGCACTATACAAAGAATAAAATATAAAGGATAAAGATAAAAAAAAACAAAAAAAAAAAAAAATTATAGTTATAATATATATATAAAAAAAGTACAGTATACTATTATAATCTGTGTCAGATTAAAAAATTATATACTAGGGTGTGGCGACCTAGTGAAGTGGTGGGGTTGCTGCACCCCCAAATGGCAGGTCTAGAGTTCGAATCCCACGGACGACGATTTTGAAAAAACTAGATCTGTATCGGTTAACGTTAA